GAGACTTGTCGCGCCCCTTGCTTAGGAACACTGAGGCAAAGAACTCGTTGAGGAGTTCAGCCTTGTCCCCCCTGTCCATCACCAATTGTTTCTGGCCATTTAGTAGGGGTCCTATTCCTCCCTGGGCCTTCCTTTTACTCCCTATATATCTAAAAAACAATTTCTTGTTGTCTTTTACTTGGGATGCCATTCTCAGCTCCATGGTAGCTTTGGCCCGTCTAACTGCCTCTCTACAAGCGCGAGCAGAGGAGGTATATTCATCTGTTGTGGTTTGTCTCAGTTCTTTCCAATAGAATAACTACGAGATGGCATTTTCTGAGGGATGCCTCAAGTCTGAAAAGTTTGAGAACCACTGGAAAAAACTTGCTTGGGATGCTATGGATTCTTCTTCCTCATGTTCTCCCTCTGTGTACTGGGGACAAGAATACTGACTTATCTTGTAATGTGCTTTGATATTTGCTGATAAAGAGTGCTAGGTAGTGTTTATTTTATTCTTTAAGGTGAGACTGCATGTTTTAATGAAAGGCAAAAGAGCATTGTAGAAGAGCTACAGTATAAACAGGAAGTATGGGCTTTGTGGAAATTACCAGATGCGATTCCATGGCTTGTGGTAGGGACTCAGACTGCAAGATCATAACTGGCCTTCTGCTCTTAAAATCTCTGATTCTTTTAGAAAGAAATAGTCCCTTGCAAATTCTTGTAGGCAAAGGCTCTGGGCCTGCAGGGCGCTGCATCAGGACGGACAGTTCCGTTCAACTGTACATAGTTATATTTGTTTTAGTTGGACTTGGTGACCCATACACAGGAAAGCAGGATCAGGATCTAAAAGGACACACAACAGATGAAAGGGGAGGAGAGGAAGAAGGATGAAATAGCTTATCAAATTTTTTTATATCTTCAGGATCAAATTGCCAGCCTTTTTTTTTAAAGAGCTTTAAAGCTAGATTTCCAAAGGTGAGAGAGAGCATGAGCAAGCTGCTTGCAATTTTTCTCAGCACTAGTGTTGTTGCTACAGAGAATGGGTTTAGGGACTGCTTGTTAACTGATGTAAATGGGTAGAATAGTTATGCATTGAATCTAGTTATATTTTATGCCAACTCAGAACTGGCCCCATGAAACTAGTCATGCAGTGGGGAGGGCAGAGTAGTGACATTACATTGTTATTTTGAAATGTAAGTTGTGCAGATCTGTTTTAATCGCTTTACTGGCTAGCAAGGCTTCAAGTTGAGGGGCTGTGCTGTAGCTGTCTGGGAGGGGTGGATGACTGGGTGTGGGAAGAACTTGGACAGGAAACTTGTGGGAGGGGAGGTGTGGAGCCTAAGATGAAGCTTACCAAAACTAGCTGCCTAAAGTTTAGGTACACAGTCATAATTCAGATGCCTAAATAAGTGACCTGACCTGCAGTGCCACACAGCTGGCAGCTATCATTCACTTTACAGGTAGTCCTTGATTTACTTGTATGCATACCAGCCCAGCTGCTGGCTTCTTTACTTTTCATTCCATCCAGGAAGAGCACACACCAACTGCTGAAACTTCCTTAGCCTGACGAAGGGTTTTTGAACCCAAAAGCTTGCTTAATAACTTTTCTCCAACTATTTGGGTTGGTCTAATAAAAGATATCAGATTCACCCAAGGAACCTTGTCTGCCTATGTCCTTCGACCAACATGGCTACAACCTACATCCCTGTCCTTGATTTACAGCATTTCAACTTGCAGCAATTCGCACTTTCAGTGATCTGCCATTTACACCCATGTTATTACTTACGGCTCTGGATCCTCGCACTTATGGCACAACAGGGAAATTTACAATGAGAAAAAGAGGTCAGGAAAATAAACATCCCTGGATCAGTTTCACAAAAAGCCAAAAATGGCCCTAAGTCTCCCCAAAATTTCCCCAAAGAAGTCCTAAATTCCATGACCCTGATGAAGGCATTCCTTCACGTTCTGATTAAATAAAACCTTATGTGATTAGTTACTTTATTGCCCTGTTTAATCAATTTATGGACAGTACACTTTATAAAGCTTTGTACTGTACAGTGTATATCATTTATAGTTGATTAAATAGTTGATTTAAATACGGTGTTTATGGTCATTTCTATAAAAAGTTGGGCATCAGGCCCTTGGTCAGGAATGTAACCCTCTATTATAACATTGTAATTGGGAAAATCAGATTCGACATTGTTTCAACTTACAGCGCCTTTTCCAGGAACATAACCCACCGTAAG